TGGGTGCGATTATCCGCCAAACGGGCTGTGAGGACAATGACGATTGTCATCACAATAGTTCAAATCCAATGATTCCGAATAAGTTTTCACAGTATCATTAATTAGTTTTGACAGGGACACTTCCGCTTTTGGCAGAAGCAGTTGAGGATAATGATAAAGATGAGTTGCGAAACCTCTCTAATGTCCCTTTGATCCCTTCGACATGGTTGTTCCGAAAAACACAGTTACGAAGGCAAACAACGTTGTACAACGTTAATCGTACCAACATACTACTGAAGTAAGTGTTAAACAGTATTCTAGGTAAGCTGCATCAGTGCTGGTAGTAATTCGTGGTAATTCCACCGAGTAGTAAATTGATGGGATTTGAATACCTCATCACTTAAATATTAAGCTTACACCACACAAGGCGACAGCAGCCATGAGTAGTCTATTGGGGAAATGCTATTAAAAGTAAGCTTACACTCAAGGCGGTAGGAGCCATGAGTAAGTAGCCTATCGAAGAAATGCAATTAATGTCGCTAGGCTTAGTGGCAGTGGTATACACGAACGACGAGAGTATACTTCGACAAATGTTCCTTATACTTCGAAGTAATTCGGAGCATCAGTACTACGAGTGGAGAGTACACATTCTCGTAGTACAATCTCATGTCCAGATTGACCAGTTCTTTTGGCTCAGTTGGGAGCGCGTCTACTTATAGAACACTTTACATCTGATCTAAATATGACAAGAACACACCGATGGTCGCTGGTTCAGTCCCAGGTTTCCTCATGTCCTTGGCAGGAAGCCTAGTTAGGGTCGAGTCAGAACCCTCCCCTTTCACTCTACGTAAGTACTTATTACTAGAACTTCGTAATATTTAGTACCGGTACTGTAGGTCAATTGGAAGTGCCATCATACTGTATACTACTAGCTACTAGTACTTCGTAGTACTACAAGTATACGTACAGTAACCCAAAACCAAATCAAGGCTCAGACATGTTTTACACGAGCAAGAGTGGTTCGAGACCCTAACCGACTCATGAGGATGCCGAGTGCGCCTACGATGCTCAACATACACGCGGCGATGGCCGTGCGACGCCGGCCGAACGCGTCCGCGAGGTGGCCGCCCACGAGCATGGTGATGGTGTCGCTCAACGTGGCGGACGCGCTTGCCATCTCTTGCTGGGACGTAGAGAGGCTCTAAAGGCATACGAGTTAGTCCAGGCAGTTAGGAAGAGGAATTGCGATAGACCGACCAAGTCGTCGGCAATGTACGCGAGCGAAGGCGCAATGCTGTGCATACGGAGAATGCATGAAGACTAAGAGAAGGGATGACGGGCGTACCTGACGTTGTACCCGTAGATCATCCCGCCGACCAGACTGAAGACCAGCCAGAGAATATCCCTGTGCGTTGATGACGCCGACGGAGGCAGGAGCGGCGTTGTCGGCTCCATTGTCAAAAATGTGTGTGCTTTGGTCAAACTAGATTCACATAGGGGTTAATCTATTTTGACTTCAAAACGTATTGTATTAAAATACAATAATTACTTCTTTTGAAGTATCAATAACGTTACTTTGTTAATTACAATTTGGTCAAAATAGATTAACCCCTATGTTAAGGTTATTTCGATATTGTGTACTTCTATTAATACAATACTTATTAATACTTCTTTTGAATTATTAATAACGTTACTCTGTTAATTCGTTATACATACCGGTATACTGTACTACTGTACCAGTACTGAAGTGGTACTACGTAGTACTACAGTAACGTTACAGTACCTGTACCGGTAGGTCAATTGGAAGTGCCATCATATACTACTAGCTACTAGTACTTCGTAGTACTACTACAAGTATACGTATAATAGTAACCCAAAACCAAATCAAGGCTCAGACATGTTTTACACGAGTAAGAGTGGTTCGAGACCCTAACCGACTCGGGTGACGACCCCATGTCCAATGTCAAGTCCGCCTTCTTGGATGGAAAACCTGGTCGTTTTGGCCGACAAGTTGATGCCTTCATCGAGAGTGACTTTCAAAGTGATCACGGCTCCCGCGTTGCCCGAAGTGACTCCACCCGTAAACTCGATTTTGCCCAAGATCGTCTTGCCGACAACTGGAAAGTTGAGACGGGGAATGTAGCCTTGGTAAAACGGGGTGCGGCGGCCGCCTTCTGCCGTGGTGCGGAGGTACACTAGCGCTTCAAACTACAACACACATCACGTGAGGTCGAATGTATGTGAGGGTATTGTACTACCTTGAAGCTAACGTTGGGGGACGTGATTTGTTCGTTGTTGCGTTGAGGAAAGGCATCCAGACTTTGGAGCAGCGCAGCCACAGTGCTCTTGTCGGTGCCTTGGGCCGCCTTGAGCGCCGATCCGCGCACGACGGGCATATCGGCCCCAACGAAGTCATATTCAATCACCAGTTCGCGGACTTCGTCTTCCACCAAATCCAGCACTGCGTCGTCGTCGATCAAGTCGGTCTTGTTAAGCAGCAGCACGATCGACTTCAAGCCCACCTGTTTCGCCAAAAGGAGTTGGTCGCGAGTTTGCTGCGTTGGCCCCTCCGTCGCAGACACGACGAGGATGACCGCGTTGAGAGCGGAGCCCTGCGTGATGAAGTACTTGGTGGCGTCGCTCGGCCCGGCAAAGTCGACATGGTCGTACTGGCGGGTGGGGGTTTGGTACTGCACGCGAGTGGCGTCGTACACGATCCCGTTCTTGTCCAGGGGGGCCGCGGTGTTGGACTGGGATTGGGCGAGGGCGGTTTTCAATGTGGTCTTGCCGTGGCCGAGTTGGCCAATGGTGCAAACGCGGAAGGCCATGGTGGGCTGGAACGAGTCAATTCAAGAATGACAAGAGTGTGCGCACAATTGGCCCCCAGTCCAAAGTCAAGTCCCCCGTAAAGAAACGCATGGTGGGGGTACAGTACGTTCTTTGGGGGTGATTTCTCCGTGTTAAACTACGTCGACGGGAAAGAAAAATTTGGTGCACCCACAGCACGACCGTGGAAGTTGGTTGTCGAATCGAGAGAATAATGTAACACTCGTAAGATGCATCTGACTTGCGGAATCTGATGTCAAGTGAATACTGCGTAGTACTACTGTGCCGTGCATGTAGTAGTCCCTCCTCGCACGGTAGAGTAGTACGTTACAGTGAAATGTGGTACAATTCCCTCATTAAAACACAGTGTTGTTTTGACCCGAAACACTGTTTCAATGAGGGAATGACTACCGGTAGTACTACGGTACATCCGGATACACCTTTTCGCCAGTAGACCTGTAACCTGGGACTCCGTCCTACCCCCGGTGAGTACATACGATGCTATATCTCCGGGGTTAACTGTATCGCTAACCACTGAGATGCACTTAACCCCTAATTAGTAAGAGGTGAGGTGGAATGAGCATACAAAGTTCCATATAAATCTCATTGAAACAGTATTTCGGGTCAAAACTACAGTGGAACTGATTTATGTTAATGAGGGAATTGTACGTGAAATGTGTCCACAACTCGAAATGATTGGATTTCTACAGGGCTTTATATCAACCCGGTCCACGATCGGTATTACCATTTGATATCGCCTTGGAGTCATTTTAACGTTACTGTGCTGTGAGGCGAAATGTTTGTTTTTTACTGCTATGTCGGTTCCTACAATTGTACTACCACTACTTGGTGTACAGTTTGATTATGCCATTTCCCTGCATGGAGTACTGTGCAAGACATGTACTACTACGTAGTACTACAGTACTCAGAATTACTTGGGAGTACTGTACTACTTACTATTAGTACTTAGTGGTCGGACTACTACGTACTAGTATTAACTGTAAACGTACTTACTAACTCTTTCGTACACCGAAAACCTATACTAGTACTAGTAGTGCCTACGTACAGTATCAGTGTGCCAAATTTAGAGGTGCGGTGGAGATGCTTAGAGTATTTTGGCGAATTCGAATATAGGACCGGTGGATGCAGTGCCAGGGTAGTTATTGTTAACGCGGAGACAAGGTTGTTATTTCTACAGTACTGTACTACTGTAGTAGAGGAGAGGTGTAAGTTTGTTCGTACTATTAATATTAATATTAATGAGTATTAAAATAGTACTATTAATAGTAACTAACTTACTACTACGTAGTACAGTAGTACTTCTAATATTCCTAAGAACTATCTGTCGTAGTACAAAGCTTACTACGTACTACTAAATTTATTAATAGTACACGATTACCCGATCAAGTTGGACTTTTTTTCCAATCAATATGGTGAAAAAAATACTACAAGTACTATTAATACGTAGTACTATTTTAATAGTACTTGTAGAATTTTTTTAACTAAGTAGTACCAGTACTGTACTGGTACTACATAGTACTGTACGTACTTCGAAGTACTAGTACTACAGTGTACTACGTAGTAAAACAGTTCGAAACATATTCGAGTGGTGCATAAAACGTGCAAACTTCGTGAACTTTTGTGCTTTCGAATCCTAGTCAACATTGCTATTTTATATTCACAGTCAAATCACATTGATTTGAAAAACTTTGATCGGGAAATGGAGTCCAACTCGATCGCGAAATGGTTAGGGTATTGCTGTTTCGGCTTATGTAAATCACTTCAAGTTACTTTTACAGTACTATAGTGAATTTATCGAAAATTTCTGGCGTACTAGTAGCACTGCATCCACCCGTACTGTACTGTACATAGTGGTTTTCAGAGGCATTTCCCAATTAAAAAAGGTCCACGGTTGTTTTGACCCGAAGTACATTGTACAAGTGGATTGTGCCATCCGAATACACTTTACTAGCCCGTATCCCTGTAACCTGGGACTCCGTCCTACCCCCGGTGAGTACATATACGTAATGCTATATCTCCGGGGTTCACTGCGTCACCATAGAAAGAGGTGGTTAGAACATACTACTGTACCGGTACTTACTGTAGTAAGTTCCATAAACACCAATTTCTGAGAACAGAAACAGTGGAACGGGTTTACTGTTAATGGGTGAATTGAACCTGGTCTTCCCGCACATGACGCTACAGTACTGTAGTCCAATACTAGTAATACCGGTAGTACTGCATTCATAAGCACTACTACGTACCGCGTTAAACTCTAAATAAAATGCAGACAATTTGAATTCACCAAAATTTATGCGTGGGTAGGTAGGTAAAGTACTACTACGTACAATGGGTAAGTACTATAGGTTATCGGTGTACAGGTAATCAGTACTTTTAATACTAACGTTAGTAGTACTAGTACAGTACAGTCCAAGCAGTAAGTACCGCGCAGGGAAATGGGGACTGGCAGCTGGCGTAGATGCAATCAAATTGTACAATTGTACGAAGTGACTAGTAACAGTAAAATCATTTCGCTAATAGTTGGCTGTGTTGAACTCCAAACCGATATCGATTCGTAATACTGTACGGATGGTAGACTGGGTTGATATTAAGCTCATGACTACCGGTAGTACAGAATCCAATCATTTTGAGTTGTGGACACATTTCACTGTAACGTACTACTCTACCGTGCGAGGAGGGACTACTACATGCACGGCACAGTAGTACTACGCAGTATTCACTTGACATCAGATTCCGCAAGTCAGATGCATCTTACGAGTGTTACATTATTCTCTCGATTCGACAACCAACTTCCACGGTCGTGCTGTGGGTGCACCAAATTTTTCTTTCCCGTCGACGTAGTTTAACACGGAGAAATCACCCCCAAAGAACGTACTGTACCCCCACCATGCGTTTCTTTACGGGGGACTTGACTTTGGACTGGGGGCCAATTGTGCGCACACTCTTGTCATTCTTGAATTGACTCGTTCCAGCCCACCATGGCCTTCCGCGTTTGCACCATTGGCCAACTCGGCCACGGCAAGACCACATTGAAAACCGCCCTCGCCCAATCCCAGTCCAACACCGCGGCCCCCCTGGACAAGAACGGGATCGTGTACGACGCCACTCGCGTGCAGTACCAAACCCCCACCCGCCAGTACGACCATGTCGACTTTGCCGGGCCGAGCGACGCCACCAAGTACTTCATCACGCAGGGCTCCGCTCTCAACGCGGTCATCCTCGTCGTGTCTGCGACGGAGGGGCCAACGCAGCAAACTCGCGACCAACTCCTTTTGGCGAAACAGGTGGGCTTGAAGTCGATCGTGCTGCTGCTTAACAAGACCGACTTGATCGACGACGACGCAGTGCTGGATTTGGTGGAAGACGAAGTCCGCGAACTGGTGATTGAATATGACTTCGTTGGGGCCGATATGCCCGTCGTGCGCGGATCGGCGCTCAAGGCGGCCCAAGGCACCGACAAGAGCACTGTGGCTGCGCTGCTCCAAAGTCTGGATGCCTTTCCTCAACGCAACAACGAACAAATCACGTCCCCCAACGTTAGCTTCAAGGTAGTACAATACCCTCACATACATTCGACCTCACGTGATGTGTGTTGTAGTTTGAAGCGCTAGTGTACCTCCGCACCACGGCAGAAGGCGGCCGCCGCACCCCGTTTTACCAAGGCTACATTCCCCGTCTCAACTTTCCAGTTGTCGGTAAGACGATCTTGGGCAAAATCGAGTTTACGGGTGGAGTCACTTCGGGCAACGCGGGAGCCGTGATCACTTTGAAAGTCACTCTCGATGAAGGCATCAACTTGTCGGCCAAAACGACCAGGTTTTCCATCCAAGAAGGCGGACTTGACATTGGACATGGGGTCGTCACCCGAGTCGGTTAGGGTCTCGAACCACTCTTACTCGTGTAAAACATGTCTGAGCCTTGATTTGGTTTTGGGTTACTATTATACGTATACTTGTAGTAGTACTACGAAGTACTAGTAGCTAGTAGTATATGATGGCACTTCCAATTGACCTACCGGTATAGGTACTGTAACGTTACTGTAGTACTACGTAGTACCACTTCAGTACTGGTACAGTAGTACAGTATACCGGTATGTATAACGAATTAACAGAGTAACGTTATTAATAATTCAAAAGAAGTATTAATAAGTATTGTATTAATAGAAGTACACAATATCGAAATAACCTTAACATAGGGGTTAATCTATTTTGACCAAATTGTAATTAACAAAGTAACGTTATTGATACTTCAAAAGAAGTAATTATTGTATTTTAATACAATACGTTTTGAAGTCAAAATAGATTAACCCCTATGTGAATCTAGTTTGACCAAAGCACACACATTTTTGACAATGGAGCCGACAACGCCGCTCCTGCCTCCGTCGGCGTCATCAACGCACAGGGATATTCTCTGGCTGGTCTTCAGTCTGGTCGGCGGGATGATCTACGGGTACAACGTCAGGTACGCCCGTCATCCCTTCTCTTAGTCTTCATGCATTCTCCGTATGCACAGCATTGCGCCTTCGCTCGCGTACATTGCCGACGACTTGGTCGGTCTATCGCAATTCCTCTTCCTAACTGCCTGGACTAACTCGTATGCCTTTAGAGCCTCTCTACGTCCCAGCAAGAGATGGCAAGCGCGTCCGCCACGTTGAGCGACACCATCACCATGCTCGTGGGCGGCCACCTCGCGGACGCGTTCGGCCGGCGTCGCACGGCCATCGCCGCGTGTATGTTGAGCATCGTAGGCGCACTCGGCATCCTCATCTTCCACGCTTCGTTTTCAGCCTTCCTCATTTGGCGACTCTGCGCTGGCATCGGCAACGCGCTCTCGATCCTCGTCCTCCCCATGTACATCTCCGAGTCGGTCAGCACCAGTCGCCGCGGCCGCTGCATTTCCCTCTACCAACTGGGGTACAATACGTCCATCCATCCTCCGCATTCTCTTGTTCACAGGTCATGATGTAGGGTCTTATCGGGCACGTTGCTACCATATGCGATGATGTTACTGTCAGAAAACTGGAAGCTAACATTTACGCTGGGGGCGGTCCCCGGTCTATTGATCGGCGGCTGCTTTTTCACCGGGTACTTCCCTGAGAGCCGCCACCACGCCCCCCACCTTGCTGAGTTCCATAAGCAGCCAGACGCGAACAACTCGAGCTCCCATGTGATGCTGCTCTTCCTGGGGGTACTGCTCGCGTACTCCAACAACTCGATCGACCCCACGCTCTTCTACGGCCCCACAATCATCTCCCAGTTCATCCGCAGCTCATCCCGCGTCTCCGCCAACCTCGTCGGTCTCGGCCTGTCGTCGCTGTCCGTGCTATCCGTGGCCGCCGCCGCCGCCTTCCTCCGGCCAACGTTCCCCCGCCGCCCCTTGTACCTCGTCTGCCACGGCGTCGTCGTCGTCTGCTTTCTCGCGGCGTCCGTCCTCTTCGCCGCCTCGTCCTCGTCGGCGGTCCTCGCGGTCCTCGGCGTCATGATCCTCTTCCAGACGTGTGGGCCGGGCCTCCTCTTCGTCCTGATCGTGTCCGAGCTGTTCCAAGACCCCGCCGTCCGCGCGACGTCCATGGGGTACTGCACCTTTGCCATGTCCGCCTTCTCGCTACTCATCAACGGCACCCTCCTCAGCCTCTTTTCGGCGCTCGGCGTCGGCGGTACCTTTGCAGCCTACGGAGTCTCGTACGCGGCTTGCTGGGTCGTGTTCTATCTCTACCTGCCCGAAACCTCGACCCGCCAAGTCCAAGCCTAACGGTACAAAGTCTGGTAGCATTTCGAAAATAATATGCCATTTTCTGGCAAAATGGGAAAAATATATATACTGCCAGTTTCATATATTGTAATATTTCAGGTTACTAGACGGGATAAATATTACTAGTAGTATTACTACTAGTATTACTACGACGACTCATTTACGAGATGGAAGGTCCTTCATATCCCGCTGCCGCCGTTTCTTGGCGCGTTCTTTCCGTTCGTCCTTCGACAGTACCTTGCGTCCGTCCGCTGCTTCCGTGTGCTTCGCCTTCTTGTCCTTTCGCTGGATATTCCCCATATAAACAAATAACATTAGTACAACCAACCAATCAATTTGTATGGCGGAGTTCACACCGCTCTGGCGGCCAGGGCGTCGTGGAGCTTTTGCTTTTGCGCTTCGATTTCCCTCTGTTTCGCTTCTTCGATCAAGGCGTCTTCGGTTAGGCCAGAGTCGTCCACGACATACGCACTCCGTCGGCATGGACACAGGTAGTACCGCAGACACCCCATGTTCTGCCTAAGCCATCAACGGCATGCATTGAGCCTTTGAAGTAATACCTTCCATGATACCTAGTCTTGCGGCGCCGGTCCTTGGCTTTGGACGCCGCGATCGCCGCCGCGTCGCCATTCTCCTTGAGATCTTTCAGGTCGTTCAGTAGTGTCGCGCGGCGATTCCACCACGACTCGCCCATTGAGTGCACCTTCATGCTTTGCTGTAGCCGGTACACCGGGTACAATAACGTCGGGAACTGCTGGTTGAGGATTTGAAACTCTTTAAAGTCCACCTAACAGAACCACCATGTAATATAAGCAAATGGGTGGGAAAACGTAGGTATATATATATATTTATATATATCTACAGTAGGTTTATATATATATATATCTACAGTAGGTTTATATATATATCTACAGGAGGTTTATATATATATATATATCTACAGTAGGTATATATATATATATCTACAGGAGGTTTATATATATATATATATCTACAGTAGGTATATATATATATATATCTACAGTAGGTATATATATATATCTACTGTAGGTATATATATAAATCTACCTTGCCATCGCCGTTAAAGTCGAATTTTTCCATCGCTGCCGCCATGTTGCTCGTGGCGCTGTCTGAGTGCAGCATCTCCAGCAGCGCATCCAGTTCCATCTAATATTTAACTAGCTTTAGTATATAAACTTTGAAAGGGTTTAGTTAGTTGGGTATACTCACCCCCTCGATAGTGCCGTTCTTGTCTTGGTCAAACACGAAAAAGCAAACTGCAACATGTTTAGTCGACATATAAGTAAATGATGACGTACACTTGAGGATTTCGTCCGTGTTTAGTAAACAAAACGCGCCAAGGGCTTCGACGTATTCGCTAAAGTCCAACTGGCCGCTGTTGTCAATATCTACAGACTTACAAGTTGGATTGAGATGGATTCAGATCAAGGTATACCAATGAGGGCAAAGACCGCGTCGCCCACGGCCGTGCGCTCTTCATTGAAACTGCGAAAGAACTCTGTCCGGTCGATGGATCCGCTGTTGCTACAGACACACAAATAATGAGATCAAGGCGTGATGGTTGACGCGGAAAACGTGTGTGCACGAACTACGAAGAAAGAGGACGATGTGAGGACAAAGAGAGCACGCACGACGTCCTACGCACCTCTTTGTCGGACTTGCTGAATCGTTTGTACAGCGCCCGTAGATCCGACTCGTTTACTACGCACCGCCATACATTATCACACACATCTGCCTACGAAAGGTGGTGGTACATTGAAGTTTCTCGATCGTCTTGAGCATGCTACATCATAAACACCATCATCGGTCAGGGAATGCCGTCGGTCAAGTCGGGGAAAGACATCACCGCTCATCCGGCGCCGGGATCTCCGTCTTCCAGAACATCGCGGACAGTTGCAGTGTGAAACGCTCGAAACATGTTTTTATTACGTGGCACGCTATGAGAGTTTAACGCAGGCGACGTTTTATTTCCATAAAAAGGAAGCATGGAAATCTCTGTCATGAGGTCTGCTACAAGATTCCGCATATTACTATCGCCTTTTCTATTTTCAACGTGTAACTGTCATCCAGGTGAGCTGCTCCAATAAATATAGTTCAGCTTTTTCCGCGACGCGATGGCGGCCGTGGAAGAACACACCCAACGTACGTCCTTGTTGAGAGCTCCATGCACATGCCTCAGGCTGATGATGATGATGCGGATTAGTGCCTTGGAAGGTCGCATTCCGTGTGCAGTTCACGACTGAAAAGTACGGCATCAAGTTCTATCCGTCCCCGCTGCCCGACACTGGGAATGGCCTATACACGATCCAAGTGCTCGAGGTGCCGCGAGCTGCTGACCCTGCGACGTATGGACCTGCGCAGCAGTACAACGAAAGCCTCAAGCCTGAACAAGCGCACTTGTACTCAGGCCATTTTGCATCACACTTCGTTGTGTTCACGTTGGCTCGAGTAGGGCTGTCCGCGCGGGTTTGTACCTCACGCACATCAACGACACCAATCTTCTACGCCAGCCCTGCGAACAAGTCATCCGCCAGTTCGTTCTTCGCTCACTTCCATTACCATCATGACCATAATGACCTAGACTCACCAGCGTACCTCGTCCTGTCAAGCTGCGCTTTGTCGACGTGGACTCCGGCGTGGTCACGTTGAAGGAGCTTCAGGAAGGACGATATGCCCGCACGTCTCTTTCCAAGGCGCATCTGGACGCATTGCTGCAAGAGCCCCCGCCGTCTCCCGAGTCTCCACCTGTCGAATCGCGTGATGCCGTCCCCACTACATCTCCCGAGCCTTTCTTGGCACCTCCGCCTCTACTTCCACCCCCTTTCGTCGTCACTGTGGCCCCTTCGACCCATGTTGCACCCGCCACACAAGCCATCCCCCTTCCACCCCCGACTTACACGACGGAACACGTGTACAAACTCATCCTTCTGGGCACGACGGGCGTCGGGAAGAGCAGCGTGCTGTCTGTCGGCGTTGGCGGCGCCGCGGCCTTCTCGGTACCGCATATCCCTAGACATCCCAATTAGCTCATTTGTTGTAGGACCGACCGGCGGCGACGCTCGAGGCCGAATTCGGCACGCTCTGCGTTCCGGATCCGGACGTGGCCACCAACAAGATGCTCAAGGCGCAGGTGTGGGACACGGCAGGGCAGGAGAGGTACCGCGCCATGACGCGGTCGCACTACCGCCGCGCGGACGGCGCGCTGCTCGTGTATGACGTGGCCGACCCAGATAGCTTTGGAAAGCTGGCGGGGTGGCTGGCGGACCTACGGGAGATGGCGGGGGACTCGATCAAGTCCATCTTAGTGCTCGAAAACAAGATCGACCAGCTGCCCGACGCCGTCGTGAGTGGCGTTGAGCCCCGCCCGAGTCAGTTTGTGAACGAGGCGGCGGTAGCAGCGTTCTGCAAGGTGAACGGCCTTCTATTTGCCAGGTCCTCTGCGAAAATGAACCGAACAGCGTTCCGGTGGGCGGGTAAGCCGGTGGAGGAAGTGGTGGGGCAACTGCTGCTGAATGTGCATGCCACACATTTGGCTCGGGGGCTCAAGCTGCAGCAAGAACAACTAGCTAAGCAACTCGTGTCCCAGGACCAAGTAGTGGCAACCTCGTCGTCGACACCCATCGTACTCTGCGCATCGCCGTCGATTGCGCGAGCCAAGTCGGGCGACTGTGGATGCGGGGGCACATAATCATACACTATATAAGTTCGTCGATTGACTTAGCTCGAATTATCTTTTCGATGTCGCGGGTTCGTAGCCAACAATGCGTGGTTGTGTTCGCGGCAGAGGGGGCTCGTGCACTGGAGAGTACCGCTATTCGAGCCATCTGATGTTCTAGGCACTGAGGACGGCGGAATGACGGAGTGGTCGATGCTTTCCTGGAGGCCATAGTATCGGATACAAGGCACGACCGTGCCAAACCCAAGCAAGTGTCTACAATCGTGAGCATGAGAGCATGGACTAGTAGCATGTGATGGTACTTGAGCGCATTGTGCGCTGCGATGCCGGCGACGATGGACTCAAACATGGGCAAACAAGGCGAACTGGCAGGAAGGATGGGAAGCACTTTCTTCACGAGTGGCTTCGCGAACGTCGAGTCCAGCGACGTCCGCCGGGGGCTTTGCGACGACGACGACGACGCGGGCGATGACTGATAGCACTAAAAGCGTACTATCAAGTGAAAAACGAGAGGAAGCAGCTCCAAACACACGTTTAAACAGCGCGTCTTGCCGCGAATGGACGTGACGACCAAGCCGGAGAGTCCGTCGGGGCCCATGGTGGCGTGCACCAACGGCACGTTGTTTTCAAGAGCCCATTCATTGACGTTGCTGGTTAGAACCAAGTCCTCCACACAAAGAAACATGAGAAGAGGCGGTGGGGATGTCGGCAGCGGGGAAGTGGGAGGACGAGGCGGTAGGGGCTGGCGGGAAGGAGGACGGTGCAGCAGCGTCGTGTCTAGGCCGCGACATGACTCGAAGCAGTCGATGTGCACCTGCTCGACGTGCACGTCGTGGTTGATGGCGTGGAGGGCCGACTCGACTTCGCCCATCCGCGTATACCCGACGTTGTCTGGTCGAAAGAACATGCGGCCCAAGTCCGCTTTGAACACGTTCGAGTTGTCGCACAGGTAAATGGCTCCAATACCACTACATTGTTGTCATAACACTCCATCTGATCTGCTCGATGTTATACCTCCGACAGAACGTCTCGGCAATCATGCAGCCCATGCCGTTGAGACCCACGACAACAATGGACATGTCTTGGAGGCGCTACATGCAATGTAAAGTCTCAGGCTAATACATTGAACCTTGCAGCTGCGAAGTACCTCGACCTCTTTCACGACTCCGCGATCGTTGTTGGACAGCATTCGACTACATTGTGCGTGATGATGAACGGACGATTAGAATGAATACACAGCTCAACCTAAGAGGACCTTCGCGCTCATCCAACAGCCCGCTGTCGACGTCTGGGCGCATCGGGTGCTCGCAGCTCTTGAGCACTCGTACCGCTTCAATGAACTTGAGCAACAAGACAAGGATTTGTTTGAGGGTACCGTGAGAGAGCTCCTTGACAGACATACGCAATCGATTTACACGTTGCGCCACTTGGTCGTGAAGGCTGTCGTCATGGGATTTCTCGTCGCGCATGTCTGGTTGACATTAACGTAAACGTTTGTTTCGGCGATCTTTTGACGAAAGGACATTTTCGTTTTACCTCAAGTACTAAGAACACCATTTTCCAAGGAAATTGAACTTATTTTTATGAATGAAGTACAAACTTTAAGGTAAATGCTGCGTATTAATTCATTGACTCAATTGCGGTTATATAGATTCAGTGCGATTCGCGGAGCGCCGCCGCGACTTCCTTTTCATAATCGTAGGCGAGGGCGATCGGTCGAATGCCAAAACACGACAGCAACGACATAAACTGAAGCATCCGATTCTGCATGAACGCCCCCAACGCACTCGACGCATGCGACCTTTCGTTCCGCATGCGCGCTTCCGCACCAACACATTGCACCGTCCAACGCGCAGTTGGTCAAAAACGCCTTGGTCGGGTCATTGCCATGAAATCCACACGCCGCCATAAGCTCGGCCAGGGTACCGGCATCTTCCAAGGCGCAGTTCACATTTTGCCCAAGATCAGGACGCATTCCATGATTGGCATCACCCACCAGAATGACCCGCCCTCGAACATACGACTCGAGCGCTTCGTAAATGGAGACAGGAGCGAGGCTCGTGACTTGTCGTACTAACGCCACTAACGACGGAGGCATGCCCCAGGACGCGACGGGGTCCGCCAGTCTAGCGGCTTCGGCGGCGAGATTCGAATACGGACGGTAGTCGTCGGCTACTTGGATCTCAGGCGGTTGACTGTGAGTTTCCATAATGGCAAAGCAATATTCACACGATGCAGAGTTCATCAACAGGGCAAATCGCTTGGGTTGGGGGTCGTTGAAGAAGCTTAGCGTGGTTGAGATGTTGGTGGTGGCCTGCCATGCTTCCACGTCACCGGCACTCATCTCCACCACCCCCAAGTACTCAATGGCCCCGTGAACGACGCTTTTAAGTGCGAGCCAAACACAAGACGACGCACCGTCGAGTGCACCCCGTCGGCCCCCACCACCACTTCCGAGCCGTCTGCGAACGTCACTACAACCTCCAGGTCGGACTGGCAGACCCTGACGACTTCTTGCCAAAAGGTACTCGTGCAAACGGCTACGCAAGACATGACACGAGCTCAATGCTTCGGGGCTGGCGGCATGCGGCGACGACAAGTCGAAGCTGGCAATGCATCGCCAGCCGCCCTTGATAGTGTAGAACCCTGCCAATGTTGAAACTCAAGTTCCCTAGGCGACGGACGTCGTCCAGAAGGCCCATGCGGTGGAGTACATGCAAGCCATTCGACTGCAAAGTGAAACCACCAAGACGAGGAGTAGGAGATGACAGGTCTGGAGAAAGTGCCACGTCATAGACTTGCGGAGTGTATCCTTTTTTGTAGGCCGGTGGTGCACACGGCGATGCCACCGCCAAGTACAAGCACATGAAGTGAAGCCCATGAAGCGGTCAATTGGAGAATATGAACAGAGTTAGACAATCATTCAATTCGAAATCGCTCTCCGCTGGTTATGATATGTACTTCGAGGTGCAGTACAGTATATAGGATGGTTGGTGGTACATGTAAGGGCGATTGGACTTTTCATCTTCGATGCCAGCCAACATACAATTAAGTGCGGGTGCTTGTGGTCGGGTAGGTAGCATGCAAGAATCAGACAAACTAGTACATTTACATTACTAAACCTGGCACGACAAAATAGTAATACAAACAACAGGCTTAAATAATACTTGTTAAGACTAAAACCAATAGTTCAACATGCACTTAAACGAGTGAATTATTGCTGTCGGCTGATCCGTGGGGCGACATAAACATGCACGTGTATCCTTATACAAGTGGCTTTCCATGGATACTATTATAATATATTGCCGTTTTATTCTTTTATAAACGAATTATGGCGGCGGATTGACAGGGTTTATGCGCCCACTTTCACACAAAGATACGCTACCGAATTAGTGACCAAATAGTGACATCCACCAAGTACTTACTTTATCCGTGGCCATTTCCGAATTTCCTCCACATCAACATGCTCATCTTGTACGGGTCCCAAACTGGCACCACCGAAGCATACGCGAAGATCGTGCACTCGTTCGCGACGGCCCGCGGCCTATCGCCGCGCCTCCTCGTCGCCGACGACTTCAACCCGGACCAACTCGTCCATGAAGGGGTCGTCATCTTCCTCACGTCGACTTTCTACAACGGAGAGTTCCCCAGCAACTTTTCTCGCACGTGGGACTACCTCCGAGCCACAACGACGTCGCTGCCGTCTACCAAATTCGCCGTGTTCGGCCTCGGCAACTCACACACAAAGGTCAACTTCAACGCCGCCGCCAAGGTGTTGGACGCGCGCTTGGAACAGTTAGGAGCGTCGCGTCTGATTCCGCTCGGACTCGGCGATGAACAAGCACCCTGCGGCCACGAAACGGCCTTCCGTCCTTGGATCCAGCACCTGTGGGTCAAGTTGCTAGGCGGACACGGCAAGATGACCCTTCCCGTGCAATTTCACATCTCAACGCCTGCAACCGACGCCGTGAGCGTGTCCCGCACCCTTCCCGGCTTTGACGGGTTCCGCGTCGTGTCCAACACACTGCTAACCCCCGACGGCTACGAGCGACCGACGTTCCTCCTGACGCTGGAGTTGCCCGCCGGCGTCACGTACCAACTGGGCGACCACATTCAAGTATCATACAACAACTCGTCTGACCTCGTCGAGCGCACCGCGTCGCGTCTCGGTCTTTCCTTGGACAGCACGATTCAGCTGAGACCGATCGGCCACGGCGGTTACTTGCCCGTAGACACCCCCATCAAGCTGGAAGATCTTCTGCGCGACTACTTGGACCTGTCGTCGCCGCCGTCACGGTCGTTCCTCGAAGGACTCTCGGCGCTGTGCGCAGACCCGGACGAAGCGCTCGCCCTCGAACAGCTCGCAGAGGACATGACCATCGGCAACTTGTACTCCAAGTACGTGGGCGGGAACGCCGCCTTCCGCACGCCGTTCACGCTCGTGGACGTGCTGGAGCTGCATCCGTCCATCCAGATAGGGCTGCATCACATCGTCGGCAATATCTCGCTCATCCGGCCGCGGTACTACTCGGTGTGTTCGAGTCCGCTGCAGCTGCCCCACCACGTGCAGGTCGTGTACATGGTGGACACGTGGCACTGCGGCAACGACCCGAACAAGCTGTTCATGGGCGCCGCTGCCGGCTACATGTCGCGCCTCGTGCCGGGAGATATCGTCACGTCGTCGCTCAGCCGCGGGTACTTCCGCCTCCCGACGTCGTTGGAGACGCCGATCCTCGGTGTGGCCTTGGGCACGGGCATCTCGTTCTTCCGCGCACTGCTACAGCATCGCGCGTACCACCAAGACCAGCACGCCGTGGTCAGCAAGATGCGGCTCTACTTCGGCATCCGCCACGCCGCCAAAGACTTTTTGTTTGAAAATGAACTCCAAGCGTACGTGAACCGCGGGTTGCTGGAGCTCGTACCCGCGTGTTCGCACGACAGCAACGAGTTCGTGACACCCGTGACCAAACTGCGCGACTTTCCCAACTCGGTGGCCGAGTACTTGGACAACCAGGGCGTGTACTTTTACTGCGGGATCGGCGGCACGATCCCGTACTTCCACGAAGCCGCCATCCAAACCGCGTTGCAAACCGTGCACAAGAGCACATTGGGCTCGGAGATGGAAACTGTCGACGAGATGAAAGTGACGGGGCGGTGGCAGGTCGAAGCCTTTTCATCGTGTTTGGACCATGAGAATGCGCTGCAACACCAGCAAAAGGTGCAGACCAAGAAGGAGGACACTCCCATTAGCGACGTGGTCGGGGACTGCGCCATGTTCTGCTTCCAGTGCGGCCAAACCAACCAAGGCATCGGGTGCACCAAGATCGGCGTGTGCGGGAAGACGCCCACCGTCGCGGCGCTCCAAGATCTGCTCGTCGACCATCTCAAACACTTGAGCTGGTATGCGCACCATATCCGCGTGGTGGACCCGGACGTGACGTCGCTGACGGAAGTGGACCGGTTTTCTCTTGTGGCGCTCTTCTCGACGCTGACCAACGTCAACTTCGACGCGACGCGGTTCGTGACGTTCATCCAGCAAACCAAGGCCTTCACGGACACGTTGAGCCAGGAATATGCGACAGTGTGCAAGGCGCATGGCGTGACCCCCCGCGCGGTGCCGTGGAAGCGCACGGACGCCAACGTGGTGGACATTGAGGAGCTGGTCGCGAGTGGGAAGAAGGTGGGTGTGCTCTCGCGTCTCCGCGCCGGCCGGAACGACGCGCTCGTGGGGCTGCAGGAGATGCTCGTGTACGGGCTCAAGGGTCTGGCGGCGTACACGGACCACTCGTTCCAGTTTGGCAACGAGAAGCCCGAGATTTACCACTTTATCCATGAAGCATTTGCGTTCCTGTGGTCTCCGGAGGCAGGGAAGGTGGACAAGGTCGTGGACATGCTCATGAAGTGCGGCCAAGTGAACCTCACGGCCCTCGCCCTCTTGCATGAGAGTAACAACACATACGGAGCCCAGTCCCCGGGTATCGCCACCTCGGTGCCTCGTCCTGGCAAGTGCATCTTGGTGTCTGGCCACGACCTCAAGATGCTCCACGATGTCTTGGAAGCCTGTGCCTCGTACAAGACTGACCACGGCGTGCATATCAACGTGTACACCCACGGTGAGCTGCTCCCGGCGCACGGGTACCCGGCGTTGCGTGCGTCGCCGCACTTGATCGGGCACTTTGGTGCTGCTTGGCAGCGCCAGTCGCTTGAATTCGCCCACTTTCCCGGGTCGATCTTGATGACCACGAATTGCCTGACGCAGCCCAAGACGGAATACAAGGACCGGCTCTTCACGGCTGGGGCCGTGGGGTGGCAAGACATCCCGCACTTGGAGGACGGGCAGTACGCGCCTCTGTTGGCCAAGGCCGTGGCCGGTGTTGGCTTTACCGACGCGGATCTCAAGTTCAACTACCCCGCCAACCCGTTTGTCAACACGGTGGAGAAGTACCACGTCGGGTGGGGCTCGGAGACTGTGATCGGCGCGGCTGCGACCGTGTTGCAAGCCGTCACCGACGGCCACATCAGCCGGTTCTACGTCATCGGCGGCTGTGACGGCTACGAAGGCGAGCGAAGCTACTACACGGACTTGGCCAAGGCGTTGCCGGACACGAGTGTCGTGCTCACGGTCGGCTGCGGCAAGTTCCGCATCAACCACTTGGACATGGGCACCATTGGCGACACGGGCATCCCTCGGCTGCTCGACTTGGGCCAGTGCAACGACTCGTACTCGGCCGTGCAGATCGCGCTGGCGCTGGCGCAGGCGTTGCAGTGTGGCGTGAACGACCTGCCGCTGTCGATCGTGCTGTCCTGGTTTGAGCAAAAGGCCGTGGTGGTGCTCTTGACGCTGCTGTCGCTTGGCATCCGCAACATTCGCGTCGGACCTACCGTGCCTGCCTTCTTGCGGCCGTCTATTTTCAAGGTCCTGCACGAAAAGTTCAACCTCATGGCCATTGGTGCCGACGTGCACCAAGACATTGCCAACATGGTCGGCGGCGACAACGGGATCGCCTCATCGCCTTAGGTATATTGGTTAGGATTAGGTTTTATTCATTAACGTTAATGTATTGTTGGGTTTATATCCACAACCACACCAGAAGAATCGGTAGGAGGATTGAGCCAATCAGATTGCAGGAAAGGAGTGATCGTCAACGTTGAATTAGTGTGTGACTACAATTTAGTGTGACACGAATTCCCACAGGACGACAACACATGGCAGGACAAAGAATCGAAATATTTATATAGTTTACAAAAACCCAAATTTTACCGAAATATGGACAATAATATTTAAAGAACTACAATTGTATTGCAACGACATGACAAGTTGGTTGAACGCGACTAGTAGCTATCAGCGCTAGAATGGGGCACGAGGGCGGGGGTGGCGGCCGACCCGCCAACGACCTGGCCCGTGTCTAGGGTTGTGACTACGGACGGACGTTGCATGACGGACTCGTGCAGCTTGCGGTGGTGGGCGTCGCGCATCTGCAGCAGCAGCGGGTGCCGGCACGTCTCGATGACTTCACACACGTGGAGCACGAAGTCGTCGGGCGTCAAGTGGGCCAGCACCGCCGTGAAGGCGCCGCTCACGTCTTCGGCCAGACAGGTCTGTCCTAGGTTGCGGATGGCGACGTCGGCGGCGGCAAACAGCGCCAGCGCCACCACGTAGATACCTTCGATGCCCACGAGCATGCACACATCCCACGCCACGAGCAGCGTGTCATACCGTAGCTGGTTGTGCTCTCGATTCGCCTGGAGGGATACATCTGAAAAGAGAGTCGGGAACCACTTATATGCCAGTAAAAACACTGGCAGCCCCACGACTTCAAAGGTCGCTGCGAGCGCTGGCAAGTACATGCTAACCATGCTCTCTAGGGTGGCGCCCGTCTGGACGAGGGCGTTGGTCGAGTGCGCTTCCGAGTGGAAGATGGTCGGCAGCGCGCCGTGGACGAGGCCGTGCAGGAACTGGAACGATCTGTCGACGTCGTCGGCAAGCACTTGGAGCAGGACAAACGCGATGCCGTTCATTCCTTGCAGGTACGACGTGTGGCTGGATGAGATGGCCGCATCGACGTTCGAGCATGAGTGCGCAATGAACGCGCGGAGGACGGTGCCGAGGTTGGTCAGCCGGGTAGGGGGCGCGTCCACCGTGGACGCCGGCGCGCCGTCCGACGACGCGAGCCACGTCGCCGTGCGGGGGATATCCTTGAGCAGCTGGATTGTGTCCCTATAACGAGGGTGAGTAGTGAGTCCACAGACGAATGTACTAGTAATAACAACAATACACGTACTCGTCCGAGATGGGGGTCGTCGAGTACGCGGCGATCTCTTGGGCGGTCACAACTGGGTGGGGCAGAGCCCACGCGAAGATGGAGGGCCAGTAAAGTAGTCGGCAGGACGTGTGCTGCACGAGCAGTTGCAGCGCTTCCGTGTACCGTCCATGATGCTGGCAGAACATGAGGATCTCGACGACGTCCGCCGCGGCCAGGCGCGGAAGCGGCGAAGGGTGGTTCTGCGGTGGCTGGGGGTCGAAGATGAGCGACTGGGACTGCGCACTGCTCCGCTGGATGCCGTCGCCCCCGGACGGCGGAAAGAACGACAGCGGCGGCGTCCGGTGGGGGGGGTGCTGCTGGGTGGTGGTCGCTGCTGGAACATTTCGGCGGACGTGTGGCCTACTGAACGCCGACAGCGGATGACTAGTACTACTACTGCCCCCCGCGACGACATGTCCTTGGGCCAAATCGATCGCGTGCACCAGCGCCCCCATCCACTCGACCATGTCGTCGTCGCTGGCGGCTTGCAGCAGCAGACTCATCGACGCCGTCGTGAGGAGAAAGCAGTGCGGCCGACCGGACAGCACCGCGTGCACGAGCCGGACGGACGCGTGCCCGTCGCTCAACGACACCACCGTCGTGGACTTCAGCGCCGGTTTGTCGGTGGAGGTCGAGTCGGCGACGGCGGCATTGCCGGACTGCAGCAGCGCGTGGCCCCACTTGGCCAACGCCGCCGTCGATCCAGCAGCCGCAGGGCCTCCGAGTCTGGCGCACACGAACAGGTCGCCGTCGATCTCGCACGCCAGGTCCTTCCACCCCATGAGCGCTGTCCCGCGGGTGGTGAGCTTGAGCATGCTGCCGAGCGCGTCGTACGAGTGCTGCATCTTCAGCACGCCGACTTTGGGGCGACATCGGAGAAAGTGCACGGTCAGGGGGCACCTTGCCGAGTGGACACGCCGCCGCAACGTGGACATGTCATTGTCGGACGGGATCGAGCTGCCGTTGACGGCAATGAGGATGCTGCCTCGAGGCACTTGCTTCCCGCCCAAGTACATCGCTGTCTGCACGATCCAGTGGTGGCCGACATACCGACCGTGGTCGTGTGCAAGAAGGGCATGGATGTCTGAACGATGGAGGACCGCAAACTCAAGGATGTCGTCTTCTGATGACTCGGCGACGACGGTGATCCTGGCCGACGAAGGGGACGGTGACATGGCGCCGCCGCTGTAGCTGCGCGTTCGAAGGACACCTCGGTCACTCGGGGGCGAACAAGCTCCGCCTTTGGAGGCGAGCCGCAAGCGCGAGACCCACGCTTGCATTTCTTCATGTGAGTCCGCGTGCAGAAGCAGGAAGAACGACGTGGACGCAATCTGGAACGAATGCGGTCGGTTCGATAAGTACTCGTGTATAGGCTTGATGCTGCATTGCACCAATTCAAAGATGTGGTCGTTCTCGCTCGACTTCTTCTTCGAGCTTGAGAGGGCAAGCCCCGCGAACGCCTCGAGCATTCGCTTCTGCCCAGGCTTCTTCAAGGAGAAGTACTGCAGCACTTGCCCCGTCAAAACGAAGCGCCGTGTCTTCCACATATTCATGTTCTTTGCACGAATATGCAGGTTTCCTTCCATCTCCGTGTACGTCGACGACATTCCCGCGGCATGGTGGTGGAGTTCAAACCCTTCCATCCCAATTGCACAAGCAAGAAATCATTACCCGGCTAACCGGACTTTCAATAAATGATCATCCGGAAATATCCGGAAGACAAGCCCGGATTACGCGCGAGATCCATTTTCAAACATTCACATCAGCGCCGAGTCGCCGCCGTCATGCCCCAAGGGTCTTCTTGTGCTCCATCTCCATCGAGCCAAGCGCTCCGCAAATGCTTAATGGTATGTGGATCGTGCACCACGCCACCACGTGTGAACCGTCAGCACGATGCATGCTTGTGCGATAGAGGGACGACGACTTACTCAGAAAGGCCATCCCACACACACTTCTCGTGTCCAAAGGCATTAGAAGAGTATGGGATGACCTTTCTGAGTACTAATATGTCGGCCCCTTCATTGTTGACAGAGGAGTCTGCTGTCGTGAGGCCAAATACAATCCGTGTCAAGATCAGGTGACTGCATTCGCAGGACAACATAGAGGTAAAGCGTGAACGGGCAACGTGTGCAAGTAAGTATATGCTATATTATGAATACGAATACTAATGAAAAACTAACGAATCGGTATGCCTAGGCGGTGGGGGTTTTGTCGCCGCCGACCATGTTGGCAATGTCTTGGTGCACGTCGGCACCAATGGCCATGAGGTTGAACTTTTCGTGCAGGACCTTGAAAATAGACGGCCGCAAGAAGGCAGGCACGGTAGGTCCGACGCGAATGTTGCGGATGCCAAGCGACAGCAGCGTCAAGAGCACCACCACGGCCTTTTGCTCAAACCAGGACAGCACGATCGACAGCGGCAGGTCGTTCACGCCACACTGCAACGCCTGCGCCAGCGCCAGCGCGATCTGCACGGCCGAGTACGAGTCGTTGCACTGGCCCAAGTCGAGCAGCCGAGGGATGCCCGTGTCGCCAATGGTGCCCATGTCCAAGTGGTTGATGCGGAACTTGCCGCAGCCGACCGTGAGCACGACACTCGTGTCCGGCAACGCCTTGGCCAAGTCCGTGTAGTAGCTTCGCTCGCCTTCGTAGCCGTCACAGCCGCCGATGACGTAGAACCGGCTGATGTGGCCGTCGGTGACGGCTTGCAACACGGTCGCAGCCGCGCCGATCACAGTCTCCGAGCCCCACCCGACGTGGTACTTCTCCACCGTGTTGACAAACGGGTTGGCGGGGTAGTTGAACTTGAGATCCGCGTCGGTAAAGCCAACACCGGCCACGGCCTTGGCCAACAGAGGCGCGTACTGCCCGTCCTCCAAGTGCGGGATGTCTTGCCACCCCACGGCCCCAGCCGTGAAGAGCCGGTCCTTGTATTCCGTCTTGGGCTGCGTCAGGCAATTCGTGGTCATCAAGATCGACCCGGGAAAGTGGGCGAATTCAAGCGACTGGCGCTGCCAAGCAGCACCAAAGTGCCCGATCAAGTGCGGCGACGCACGCAACGCCGGGTACCCGTGCGCCGGGAGCAGCTCACCGTGGGTGTACACGTTGATATGCACGCCGTGGTCAGTCTTGTACGAGGCACAGGCTTCCAAGACATCGTGGAGCATCTTGAGGTCGTGGCCAGACACCAAGATGCACTTGCCAGGACGAGGCACCGAGGTGGCGATACCCGGGGACTGGGCTCCGTATGTGTTGTTACTCTCATGCAAGAGGGCGAGGGCCGTGAGGTTCACTTGGCCGCACTTCATGAGCATGTCCACGACCTTGTCCACCTTCCCTGCCTCCGGAGACCACAGGAACGCAAATGCTTCATGGATAAAGTGGTAAATCTCGGGCTTCTCGTTGCCAAACTGGAACGAGTGGTCCGTGTACGCCGCCAGACCCTTGAGCCCGTACACGAGCATCTCCTGCAGCCCCACGAGCGCGTCGTTGCGGCCGGCGCGGAGACGCGAGAGCACACCCACCTTCTTCCCACTCGCGACCAGCTCCTCAATGTCCACCACGTTGGCGTCCGTGCGCTTCCACGGCACCGCGCGGGGGGTCACGCCATGCGCCTTGCACACTGTCGCATATTCCTGGCTCAACGTGTCCGTGAAGGCCTTGGTTTGCTGGATGAACGTCACGAACCGCGTCGCGTCGAAGTTGACGTTGGTCAGCGTCGAGAAGAGCGCCACAAGAGAAAACCGGTCCACTTCCGTCAGCGACGTCACGTCCGGGTCCACCACGCGGATATGGTGCGCATACCAGCTCAAGTGTTTGAGATGGTCGACGAGCAGATCTTGGAGCGCTGCGACGGTGGGCGTCTTCCCGCACACGCCGATCTTGGTGCACCCGATGCCTTGGTTGGTTTGGCCGCACTGGAAGCAGAACATGGCGCAGTCCCCGACCACGTCGCTAATGGGAGTGTCCTCCTTCTTGGACTGCACCTTTTGCTGGTATTGCAGCGCGTTTTCGTGATCCAAACACGATGAAAAGGCTTCGATTTGCCATCGTCCAGACGCCTTCATTTCATCGACAGTTTCCATCTCCGAGCCCAATGTGCTCTTGTGACTTGCTTGCAAAGCTGCTTCGATCGCCGCTTCGTGGAATTCTGGGATCGTGCCGCCGATCCCGCAGTAAAAGTACACGCCCTGGTTGTCCAAGTACTCGGCCACGGACGTGGGAAAGTCACGGATCAACGTCACGGGTGTCACGAACGAAGCGCCGTCATGCGAGCACGCGGGGGCAAGCTCCAACAACCCACGGTTCACGTATGTGTCCAGTTCATTTTGAAACAAAAAGTCCTTGGAAGCATGGCGAATGCCAAAGTAGAGGCGAATCTTGCTCACGATGGCGTTGTGGTCTTGGTGGTACGCGCGATGTTGCAGCAGCGCACGGAAGAACGAGATACCCGTGCCAAGCGCCACGCCAAGAATAGGTGTTTCCAACGACTCTGGCACTTTAAAGTACCCGCGACTGATTTGGGCCGTTACGAGCGCGTCCGTCTTGAGGTGGGACATGTACCCCGCGGCGGCACCAGTGAATGTCTTGAGCGGGGACTTGCTGGATTGCCACTTGGCCACCATGTACACAATCTGGACGTGGCGGGGAAGCATGAGGGGGCTAGAGCACACCGAGTAATACCGAGGAGGAAGGATGGGAACGTTGCCCAAAATGTGCTCGAGGCCCACTTGGATCGAAGGGTACAGTTCCAACACATCCACGAGGGTAAATGGAATGCGACTGGCAGGGTTCGTCCCCACGTATTGGGAGTACGCGTTGCCGGCAGTCATGTCTTCCGCCAAGTGCTCCAACTCTGTGGCTTCTTTCTTGTCCGTGCAAAGCGCCGACAAACCTTCAAGGAACGACCGCGATGGCGGCGACGATAAGTCGAGGTGATCGCGAAGCAGCACTTGCAACTTCACGGGATCAGTGGGCAGGCCCGTGGAATTCGCCAACGCAGATAGGTGCACCGTAGTGCTCAAGTCCAAGTGCATGCGACGAGCCAACCGCAGCACCAGGTCGTCCGAGTTGACGTGGGCCACCTGGATGTGGTCGCCCAACTCGTACGTGACTCGAGGGGGCAGCTCCAACGTCAAGAGGTATGAAGGGCGTTCGTATCCCACAGGGGTGAGCAATGTGTTGGAGACGACGCGGAACGCATCAAAGCCAGGAATGGTGCGCGGGGCGGACTCGACGTCCTTGGTGGGGTAGCTGATGCCATATTGCACTGGCAACGTCATCTTGCCATGACCTCCGAGCAACTTGACCCACAACGATTGGACCCAGGGCCGGAAGCTGGTTTCGTGGCCGCTGTCGGCCTGTTCGTCGCCGAGGCCGAGGGGCACAAGGCGTTCTCCCCCCAACGCTTCCAGCTGGGCGTCGAGTTGCTTCCCGGCATTGTTGAAGTTGGACTTGGTGGCGCTGTTGCCCAACCCAAACACGGCAAACTTGGTGGTAGTAAACTTGGCAGTCGTGGTTTGGAGGTAGTCCCACGTGCGGGTAAAGTTGCTCGGGAACTCGCCATTGTAAAACGTCGACGTGAGGAACACAATCACGTCTTCGTGTACGAGGTCTGCATGGTCAAAGTCGTCAGCGGCCACCAGGCGGGGCGAGAGACCGCGGGCCGTCGCGAACGAGTGCACGATCTTCGCAAACGATTCGGTGGTGCCGGTCTGGGAACCGTACAAGATCAACATGGTCGAGGGAATTAAAAAGTGAGACCACTGGGGCGAGTCGGCGGGGTGCGAACTTGAACGGGCGCAAAAATGCCGCACTAAACACCTCAAATCGTTGAATTCCCCTGATCCAGTGGGAAAAGTCGGGGGCACCAGCCAAAACACAACTCACCGTGGCGAATTTCCACCTTGCACTTCCTGGCTTTCGACTCTACTGCGCTCCGATTGGCCAGTGCGCCAATTGTGAACTAAACTCTCGCTGGATGGTCCGGATAATACCTGGAACTGCGTTGCTCTGTCCGCTGAATGCACATGGACACGCTCCGGTTACGTGATTGGTCAAGTGTGAACTAAACTCCCTTACAGCACCGAGATCAATGCGATAACGTCATTCATCTCCTGTCGATCCTCCTCGATACTGTACGTTGCTGCCGTACTGTATTGGTCAATATCTCCCGTACAGATCAGGCAATTTGCTACGTAGTACTACTGTACTACGTATTACTGGTATATGCGGATGCTGTTTGATGGTGATCTTCCGAACACAAGCATTCACATGTCATATTGTAGGTACAGTACTGTATCGAACTGATCTTAGGCATGTCCAAGCCTCTCCATGACTTGGCGTTGTGATCTCATCCGACAATCCAAACACCGACTATACATACTAGTATATTATATATACCAGGTACAGAGTCTCCTGTCACGTTAAGCTGTTGATATTCTACGACCTTGTAATGCAATCGTTGAGTCATCACTCCAACTTTAGCAGCAACCAGTGCGTTCGAAATATAACGTTACTTAACGTTACTAGTCCAAAGACCAGGGCGGTAACACGACCGACCGTGGCTACATAGCAGGATGGTATAGGAAACGAACGTTAAAAGATGGACGTTGATACAACCGCGGCGGCGTCCGACGACACTGGCACGAGATCATGGAACATGTCAAAGTCGATCCAGACGCCGTTGGTCTGTGGGTGGCGCTTGACGCATCGAGCAAACATGTGGTCCCACACAATGTCGGTCAGTTGGTACGAGTGCCGCGCCTGGGCCGTGTTGGACGTGGTGCTGTCTTCGCCTTCGAGGATCACGACCACCTCCATATTGGTCTTTTCAAAGTGCCGCTCGATGGAGGTCCGCGTCACGGGCGTGGCCACCTGCGGGGAGTCGGCGTCGCGGTTGCCGTTGTCGTGGTCCACGGCGCGTTGCAGCGGGTCCGGGTACGCTGGGGTGGTGGTCGCGTTGTACGAAGACGGCCGGCATTCTGGCGGAAAGAGGGGGCTCCACTGATCGATGCGATGGACGACCAGTTGCGGCATCGCCATGAGCAAGTACGACCCGAGGTCGTCGTCTGGTTGCTGCAGGCGCATGCTGTGCGTCTGGAAGAGGCCGCCGCCGTCGTCGTCGACTTGGTCTCGCACGGCGTAGCATCGGACATGCGCTTCCACGAGCTAGACACGACATCATTCATGTGGACTAGACTATGGCCACACACCTGGTGCTTGCGGCGCTCGCATACTTGAAAGATGAAGTAATACTCGCCTCGGATGCGACGAATCACGGCGTTGGTCGTGAACACGATGGACTGGGCTCGTGTCTACGAAGCATGACCTTGAGATGGGATAATAATCATGTCAGGATATCGCACTCACCGACGCGCGGGAAAAATGGATGAAGAACATCCCCACCATCAGCGCATTGATGAATATGCCAGAGAAGCTCTACACATGCATCGATAAGGATGATAAACCAACGTCCTTGGGAGAGTCAGCGCACCTCCAACGTCAAAAGCAGCGCCATGGACCCACAGCCGCCGTAGAAGATGTCGTCTGTCGGCGCACCATACCCGATGGTCATCTTCGACTCCGATGAGAGATCCAGAAACATGGAGATTGCGTACGTACAATCGTCTCGATCGAAAAGATGTACGCTTCCGTGAGCGTTTTGATCCCGACGTTGCATTTGGCATCGTTGTACGACACCACCAAGTACAAGCATGCAAAGACGAACGTCACGAGCACGTACGACACGACGACGCCCGAGATCAACGTCGGCGTCTTCACGTTAATCACAGTATGGTACAGATCGTTCCAGTAGATCTGCTTCCAGTTGCCACCCGTGCGCGCAATGCTACCATCACAACATCCATGACATCGAATCCAATGACTTTCATCCTCCGTACTTGAGGATGCCGCGAGACGTGTTGCCAGGATTCGGGCGACTTCGCGTCCGCAGTAGCGGCTTCCCAGACCGATCGACAAAGCGAGGTCTCGGTGGCATCGCACTCTTCTTGAGGCATTGCGGCAGCAAGAAGTTGTCGCCGCCGTCGTCCATTATATTTCCAGAATTCAGAATTGGGTTGGCCGCCACTAATAGTGTAACCTTCTTCATGTGCGTATCCGGAATCCGCTTAATTATCCGTATTCCTACTACTTGCGCGCGTAGATCACTTTCAAATTTCGAGGCACAAGACAACATTCAACGTGGGTATTCGAGACATAAGGTTACAGTTCGACAGTGTTGTTGGACTTTTGCAGCAGGGCGTCGCGCCGCATCTGCCGGATGATCCCGTGCAGACTCTGCACGGAATTCTGGACGCTGGCGTCTCCCATGAGCGTCTGGACCCGCGGGTGGGTGAGGTGGTCTTCCACGGCCATGACCATGGCGACAAACGCCTCGTCGCCGACCCACGGCGTCGCTAGCGTCGGTTCCACAGGCATGGGGATATCGTTCAGGAGCGACGTCGGCGGTCCATGGAGCAGGTCGTCGATCTCTCGCTGGATCTCGTCACGCAACACCCGCGAGTCGTTGTCGTCGATGGCCATCCACTCGACAATCTCGGTCGAAATCTCGCCGTACGTGCTGCTCACCGAGATGCAGCTCAGCATCGCACACATGTCGTGCACAATATGACACTCCTTGTGGTCCCCCAGTCGGTCCAAGCTTGGCACCCATGTCGACGCCGCCCACGTGTTCTGGATCACTGTCCGGGGCACCGCGTCCCACGCCGCTTTGATCGCCAGCATCGCGTCGTACACGTGCGGGGACCGTCCAAACTGGAGACCCGCCGAGCCTTTAGGCATGCTCCGCGCCCGCTGCTCCAGCTCCAGACGCTTGCTGTCTGGCAGCGACAGCACGGCAATCAGGTCCGAGAACACGGCGTTCTTGAACTCTTTCTTGAGGGCGTCCACGATGCCCATGTTGAGTGGCTGGTACCTCGACCCCATATTCATCGGCACAAACGCGGCGCTCACGTTGTCCAGGTTGAACTCGTGGTACGGGGCGCCGTGCTCGAGCAGCAGCAGCACCGGCTCGGTCGTGCGCGCCTTCACTTCGGGTAGAAACACTTGGTGCACCCAGTGGTTGAACACCGTCGCGTCCATCCACGCCTTGATCTGCGGCATGTAGTGCACCGGCAGGCTCTTGAACCCGACCGACGACAGCGGCGCCTTCTCCTTGCCTACCATGAGCAGCGGCACCTTGTGCGTACCCGTGGCGTTGACGCACACAACCAGCGACACGCGCTCCATCTTGCGCTGCTGCACCTCGGCGCTCTCGAACGGACACAAAATATTGTATGAAGGCACGAGCTGGTAGAACAGCGACGTCTCGCACATGTTGTAGATGCGGTCGGGGCTGTAGTGCAGGATCTTGTCGCGCAGCTGCTTGAGCTGCAGCTGCATGTCCAGCGGCGTTACGTACGCCGTCGGGTGGTTGTGGCTGCTCGTGATGTGGTAGCGCGACGCAAACTTGCTGTACCATGCCTGCGACGGCTTGAAGTCGCACGCGGGGTACTTGTCCGCGAGGTCCTTGGCTTTGCGCTGGATCATCGTCGGCGGCACGATCACGTTGCGCGACTGGAGCGCCGCGATCCATCCGTAAAGCTCTGCATCGAACGACGCCGACGACATGTCCGAGGTCGAGGTCGGGGCTAAGTCGGCCGAACTGGTTCCCGCGAGCCCGATGGACGACGAGGCGGACGCGGCGGCGACGACGGCCGACGTGGTCGAGGACGCGAACGACGGTTTGCGCTTGGACACGTTCGTCGATGCCATGGATGGAAGGCCGTTGGTCACGCGCTCGACGATCTTGTCCTTTTTGTGCAGCAGTTGGCGAATCGCTGCCTCCGTGATGTTGTACCGCCGGCCGAGTTCAACTTTCTTGAGCGTCGGGTCTCTCTCCACGGCCCGAATGATGTCCATGCGCTGCTTGTCGTTGAGGCGCAACTTGCCCTTGCGGCCGCCACGCCCCCCGCCGCCTGTACTACTGGTCGTCGGCGGCACGGAGATGGGATTAGGCAGTTGTTGCACGGGCAACGTCGGATGCAAGTTCATGAACGAGTCTTCCATCGAATGCATGTTGCCGGTTCGATGGTCCTTGGATGGATCGTCTGCCGATGTCGGGTTCGACTTGAGGTACCGGTCGAGGATCACGTCCTTCTTCTGGAGCAACTGACGGATCGCCGCTTCCGTGATGTTATATCGCCGCCCGAGCTCTACGTTTTTCAGCGTCGGGTCCCGCTCCACGGCGCGGATGATGTCGACGCGCTGCTGGTCATTGAGCCGGTGGCGCTCCTTCTTGCCAATGCCAGAAGCTGGTTTCCCGTCGTGGTGCTTCGCCCCACTTGCTTCGGACATGGGAAAACTTCGGGGAATTTGACCACCACCTACTTCGACGGCATACAATTCCGAGTAATTTTATTGCGATCGAATAAAAATACACCGCATTCGCCACCCAAATTCGAAATTTTAAACCGAAGATGCATCCACGACTTTGATTGGCTCTTCACACTATTTACAGATCATCCACTTCGCTCGAAGAAAAAAAGAATATCACACTATTAATTTTGGACCAATCCCTGTACACTGTACAGTAACGCGAAATGGTGACGACAATTTTAATTAGAAATCACACTATTTCCTGACAACTTGGTCAAAATACACTCACAGGCACATCGTTCATCGAGTCCGCGGGGGCGGCGCGGAGGTCGTGGAACTTGTCGAAGTCGATGTGTGCGCCGTTCGTCACGGGGTCTCGACTCACGCAGCGGGCAAACGTATGGTTCCATGACATGTCGTGTGCTGTATAGGAGAAGCGTGCCTGAACGACGACACGTGACATGTTCAGGGACCGACTGAACGACCTGCGAGCGTACGTACCTGCATGGTGTTGCCAGTGGTGCTGTCGGTTCCTTCAAGGATAACGACAACTTCCAGTTCTGATCGACGTAGATGACGCTCAATTTGCGCTTGCGTCGGTTTGGTTGGCTCCACAGCGTCCGCGTGGTAATCCCGGTTCCCATTCTCGTGATCGATTGCTCGTTGCGATGGATCTGTGGTGAACAAGCGCCGTCATCAGGACGCACTACGACATACGTGGACACGTTATTACCTGGGAACGCAGGACACGTCGTGGCATGGTACTCGTCGGGAAGGCATTCCCGAGGGAAGAATGGGCTCCACGGGTCAATTCTATGGACCTACCGAAGAAACTTCAAAACTGAAACCGTCATTTCTGAAAACTGACCACAACTTGGGGAAGCGCCATGAGAAGGAACGCGCCGATGTCGTCGTCTGGTTGCTGGATTCGCATGTGGTGGGTCTGGAAGAGCGCTTCTTCCGTGCACCCGTCCTCGCCGCTGACTTCATGGCGCACGGCGTAGCATCGCACATGCGCTTCCGCCAACTACATGCATATTCAGTATCATCACGGACGTTGCAGCACACCTGATGCTTTCTCCGCTCGCATACTTGGAACATAAAGTAGTAGTCGCCTCGAATCCTTCGGATCACTGCGAAGTTCGTAAAGATGATCGAACATGCTCGTGTCTAAAGCAATGAAGATCAGGTATCGATAGGGCAGGGACGGGAACGTACGGTAGCGCGGGAGAAGCGCACGAAGAACATGCCAATGCACACGGCGTCGAGGAAGATGCCGGAGAAGGATTCAAGGGTGAGGATCACCGCCATGGACCCACATCCGCCGTAGAAGATATCGTTCGAGGGCGCGCCATACCCAATCGTCATCTAAAACGACTTGTATAAAGCACAAGAAAGGACAGATTATGATGGACGAACAATGGTCTCGACGGAGAAGATGTACGCTTCCATGATGGTCGTGATGCCGACGTTGCACGTGGGGTCGTTCACAGACACGTAGCGGTAGCACAGCGCAAAGAGGAAGATCACGAGCGAATACTAGTACATAGCAAGGACATGTCAACATCACATGGATAGCGCTCGTCGTTACCGCGGCGAAGACACCAATAATGACGCGGCTCGTGCGGGTGTTGATGATGGTGTGGAAGAGGTCGTCCCAATAGATCTTGCGCCAGTTTCCGCCTGACCGCCTGATGCTACAATGCCCCGCATGAAGAAGGTTCAATGTCGACGATGGGCTCGTACTTGTACGATCCGACCGGGACATCCAGGAGCAACTTGCCGCTCTCACCGACCACGGGTTCCCCTCGTCCGACGACGCGCGCGATGGGTTTGGGAGGTGCGTTGTCCAGACTTTCCATGCCTTTGCTCATATCCACGCGCCTGTGCAGCAGTGGACTCTTCTCTCGATGCGGCATTCTTGGCGACTGCTCCTTCGTCGATATCGACAACTCTTGGTGAAACGGACCGATCTTGGCATACAAATATCTAGGTTATTTTGAAGGTGAATGTAGAATTGGGCGGCACTGTTTCGCCTGATTCACGACGTCCAAGAGCTCATATAATACTTTACATTTAATGAATAATACATTAAGACTAAGTAAAGTACATGTTTTTAATATATTATACACAGGATGTCATGGAAGACTCTGTCGTGCGCTCCTACTGTACACATGGGATCTTGACGTGGCTACTCCGCCGTTATGTTGGCGCTTCTGGGAGTAATTCCTTTACAGTAGCGTTAATCAGAATATATCGTGCCTTCACATCCATTCATTCGGATGATCAGGTCGTCAATGACGTTATATCAAAAACTTCTCTGTTAATTAATATAATATTGGGTTTTGCAGGTAGATATCCTCGATTATATGACAAGGCATGGAGGCTGCACGATAACTACAAGTAGATAGATATACACGGTTTACGAAACAAATACGAAACAATTTCAATGCAGTCACGAAACATTTTGTTTCGTAAAACGGAAGTATCGATTTTCCTTTATGCTGGATTTTGTAAGGTGCTTCAAGTATAGAAAAGTACCACTGATTTACGAAACTTTCACGAAACACTGGATTAAAGTATACTCAGCGTGAGTTGAAGGATTTTGAAACGCACAAATTCAAGTTCTTTAGGCGTCACAAATGCATGGCGATATCGTCTCAAGTTGGAGGTTTGCGTCATTCTTAGTGTCCAAGGACTGGCTAACGTCAAGCGTATGAATACAACATTGCCTGAACTACTGTACTGGTTGGTGGCTTATGCATGGGAAAGGTGTACCCATCTACGACTAACGTTAAGGCAAAAATGGTTCCTTATACCAACAGCTACCCAACACGCGTTAATGGAACAGTATGGCGTTAACGTTAGTAGGACCAGGAGCCACGATAATGTTAGCTTGGGGGCGTTGTGGAAGGCTGCCTCTCCTCCATCTTTTCACCATAAGCTTAGTGCAACTCGCAATCCTCTCACCTCCATTCGCCATACCGTACTCGTCGAACTCGCCGTGCCTCACTCAAGGGAATAGGATAAAAACGTGTGGCCACTTGACTTTTTACTGGTGGTCACCGAAAATGTCATGTGTTGTTGTTTTGCTCGTGGTTAAACTGTGGAACTTACTGTTAACGAGAATTGCTTGGGCATCCTTATACGTATCGACGCGTAGGCATTCGAACTGTATGGTATGACCAGCACTACAGCTCACAAAGTACACTCTAATACGGTTACAATACCTTCGCAAAGATATAGGGCCCACGGTTTGTTTGCTTGTTTTACGTTAGCTAGCACCAACATATTTCGAAGTAAAAATTAACATGAAATCTTGTCCAGTTATTCACAATGTAATCGACCAAATTCTCGCTTGTTACCGATAGTATGTTGCCACTTGCATCGTCCAAGCCACTGTCTTGGATGATGGTTGACTTCATGTTGGCAACACGACAACTTCGTCGAATTGACTCGTGGCTCGGCTCGATTCACGCCGCTTATTTGAGGCTTCGATTAAGTAGGTCCAGCCCCCAACAAGTACCTTGTCAACATACAGTCTTTGAGTTGGTCTTGCTGTAGTGCATGCGAAGTTCTAAGGTAGTGCATCGATTTTCTGGACGGTTTCTGATCACAGTATTGGTCATTTTTCAAACCTTCATAGCTTCGCTGTCATATCGAATTTTTATATTCTACGATTATGTCCTGAATATATAATTCAAGCAGAATTTTATGGTGTTAATCCAAATGTGAAAAGAAACACTTCATGATTTGTAGGCAATTTAAATACAGCAAATAAGAAATCTCATGACTTTCTAACGACATCCAAATCTGGACGGCCAACATATCTTGACATTTGTATACTGTTAATATAATTTACATTAAAATACTTCTGATTTCTAAGGACCAAACTATAAAATTGCCTACGGCGAAAACAATAAAAATTCACAAAATATAAAAGAATGAATGAATAAAAATTCAATTGGACTTTTTGCGCTTAACATTTGGCTTTCTGGTTGGCTTGGAAGCGTTCGTGTGCAAGCCTTCCTTC